TACAAGGCAAGAAAATCATTACCTCTTAGAGTTACCTTTTTTACCAAATAGAAATCTTTTGCAACTTACCAATCTTTTCTAAGTTACCATCTAACTTCAGAGGGTTTGGGAACTACTCAATAGCATGCAGCTAGTCAGTTACCTTCCCCTAGAGCAGGGGTTAGCAAACTTTTTCTGTATAGGGCCAGACAGCAAACACAACTATTTAACTTTGCTGTTGTAGTATGAAAACAGCTATTGGCAGTAAGTAATGAATGAGCATGTCTGTGTTCCCATAAACTTTATTTTAAAAAAAAGAGTGCACTGGATTTGACCCACAGGACATAGTTTGCCAACCCGTGTCCTAAAACACCAGCTGATCCCCAGGTGGCCCACTGCATGTCTCTTCAAAGTTATACACAGAGGACTATACAACGTTGAAGAGACATGCCATGATCTTTCTCCTTTAATTCCAAGTTTTAGATAATTTTTAAAACAGTACCCAGTCTTCAAATGATAAATCCGACACTTTCTCCTGGCACATAAGAGAACTTACTTTGCTGCCTCTCTAAGGCTCAGTTTTTGGAGTTCAGATTAAGAAACAAGGCCCTATCAAAGAAAGGAAGTTAAAACAAGAAATACTAAGAAAAGCATTTCTCAATATTTTTCCATCTTGGCTTACTTGCTTGGGGAAAATATTCTGTGAACCACACATGCCTTTTCCACTGCCTTGAGGAGCTCTCATCAGAACTCAGGGGAAGCCTAATACTATGAGAAGTCACCGGGGGCTGTGAGAAACACACGACGCCACTTTCCTGTGATGGAGGAGCACTCAAGCCGAGACATGACCATGATGGCACCACATGATTCGAGGGGATGGAGTCAGGTGCCACCTATAGGACCTTCAGCACTCACACTTCAGATCCACTGGTCTACAAGATCAAAACCAGCAGAGGGACCTGCACTGAGCTCATTCAAAAGCTGTTTCATCTGACATGTGTTAAAAAAAAAAAAAGTTGAATTTTTTTCAGTGCAGTAGAAATTCTCTGACCTCTCAAGAAAACATTCCTGTGTGTTCTGACTCCTGCTAAATTAGAGTTAGAACACAGGCTCAGTATAACCGCCTACATTGAGTTCAGGTGGTCCCATCCGTTAACAGGTTACTGCCACACAGCCAAAGGCTAGAAGCATATTCCTTGTAAGACCAGGTTTTAATTCAAACTTGTTATATACCTACTACGGACTAAATACTGTGATAGACATTGCAGTTACAAAATTGAACACAACTCAGCCCTTATTCTTAAGAAGAATAAATGCTGTATTCTATCAGGGGGAAAATGCTGATGTAATTGGTGTCAACTACTTTGTGCAGGGCATTTTGAGGCAGAGCAGTGAGACAGACGGGAGAGTGGGAAGTACTATGGAGGTAGATCGAGCTTAGTGGTGACAATTTCAGAAACTAGTAAACAAGAGGAAATAGAAAGGTAAAAAGACTTTTCTTAATTTTACAATATTAAATAAAGTTTAAAACTTAAATGACAATATCTTAGATAATAGGTGAATAGTCAAAAGGAAAGAGGCATGAGATATCTACCGAGCGTTGATTACTAACAGTTATTGCAGAAGTGATGCCTGTCACTGTTAAGATCTTTCCCATCAACTCCTCTTGGAAGTTGTTTCTGATGGATTTAACTTATCTTTTACTTCCCATTTCTGTTATGGCTACCTTTATTTGTGTCTGCTCCCAATCATGCCTTCCCCCTGCCAGCTGGTTTTCTAATTTTTCAGTTTCTAGAAACTTATAAACAGAAGAAAACCTGATAAAAATAACTTGATATCATGTGATGTGTTGACACATTAAAGGAATCCTGTTGTTGCTTAACCAAGATAACATTTCTATTCTTCCATATTTCTCTAATAGAAAACAAAGTTTATATATAATGTCTGAATGTCTTATTATGGCTTACACTTAAAGTTTCAAAGCCAGGTGTGACACACACCAGTAGTCCCAGCTATTTGGAAGGGTGAGAAAGGAGGATTGTTTGAGCCCAGGAGTCCAGCCTGGGCAACATAGCAAGACCCTGCCACTTAAAAAAATATAAAATATAATAAAGTTTCACTACTATTTTCAGTAATGTACATATATTCTATTTTTTAAATTTACATAATAAGTTATCCTATCAATAAGCAAGCCATCTAACAAATTCTGATCCAAAATGTGGTTTACCATAAAATTTCAGGTAGATTAAGGAAACAAAAGCAATTAAAAGAGGTGTAAAAAGGAAAAAAAAAAAAAGCTGGGAAAACATGTAGAGTCTACGTTCCCTTTAGAAAACAACTTTTCAAGTGAAATGAAATTGTTCTAATAACTGCTGAATGACCATTACAGAGACCACATGGATTATGATACTTAAATAGCTATTACGAAAAGAGGAAAGTTGTCCTTTGAGATAGAAAAATTACACAGTATTTTCATAGTGAAAGGCAAAAGGTTTCAGAAATCCTCAGAATGTTCACTCAAGAAATGAATTCAGTGGTTCTGAATTGCTTATGTAATTATTGGTTTGTTTTATCTGTGAAAACCAAATACAATATTAAACATTAGCACACAACCAACAATAACATAGAATACTATACCAAAAGAAGATGCCTTTCTTGATGGCAAAATGACTAAGAAATGTAAACTAAAATTACACAGCACTGAGAGGGGGCCCACCATTTTTCCCTTTCATTTACATCAATAATCAAGAAGAAAAATGTTGAGAGTTATAGAATAAGCCATTATAATAAAGATAATAAAAGAATTTTTTACACACCAGAGGAAAAACTAGCTCCTCTCAAGAAGTTTCGAAGTCTGCTCGTGGAAAGGCCAATATTCAGAGGCAACAAAGGGCCAGTAAGTTAACCTGAAAAGAATAGCTGCTGTGATGTCTACAAATTCTTTGATATCCTTACCTTCAAACCATGGGCCAAACTTACTGCCTCACTTAATGAAAACAATGGGTAGGAGGGATACCGTGTGACTATTACAACTAGATCACAAAAGGACATAGCTTCTGCCTGGCAAGCATGCTCTCTCTCAAAGTGCTTGCTCTTAGAACTTAGCTACCATGTTGTGAGGAAGTCCAGACCACATGGAGGGGCCATGTGTGGGTGTTCCAGCCAATATCCCCTCCCAGATCCCTCAGCTGACACCAGTATCAGCTGTCAGTCATACGAGGATGAGCCTGCAAATCATTCCAAGCACCTGGCCTTTGAATCTTCTAGCTAAGGACCCAGGAATTGTGGAGCACAACAAGCCATCCCTAATTTGCATTCTCTGAATTCCCCCGACTCATAGAAAGTATCTGTAATAATAAAAGGTTACTGCTGTTTTAAGCCACTAAGTTTTGGAGTAATTTGTTTTGCAGCAACAGATAAACCAAAACATTTACCTACAACACACATATATCTAATATGGAAGGATTTTTTTCAAACTGAAAAAATAACCTTTATACAAACCAATTATAGATATGTCCTCTATTTAATACATTTAGAAGGTTTTATTTAAGTAACAACATTAAATTTTATTAATTTGAACTTTCCTAATTGGAAATCTGAGAACTAAGACTAAATTTTAGAGTGTTTTGGTTGAATACCATCATCAAAGTAGCTCTGTAGAGTTTAGGTAATTCATTCACAAAAGAAGGCAAGAATACTGAGGCTAATTAAGAGAATAAATTGTCTTTAAAGTACTTTAAAAGTATAGTACCCCAATGGTTTGAATGTCCCCTTCAAAATTCATGTTGAAATTCAATTGCCAATGTAATGATACCAAAAGGTGGTGCCTTTAAGAGGTGATTAGGTCATGAATGGATTAATGCCATTATCTTGGAAGTAGGGTTAGTTATCTCAGGAATGGGCTCCGGATAAAAGGATAAGTTTGGCCCCCATTTTCTCTCTTGCCCTTTCACCAAGTTATAATGCAGCCTTCTTAGGCCCTCACCAGATGCCAAGTAGATGCTGGCACCATGTTCTTGGACTTCCCAGTCTCCAGAACCATGATTCAAATAAATGTCTCTACTTTATAAATCAACCACTCTGTGGTATCCTGTTACAGCAACAGAAAACAAACTAAGGCAAGCACTCTCCACATAGAAAGCATTCGATAGTTATTATGCGTTAAGTGAAAATTAGATGCTTTGAGTTCTTCCTAATCACTTTTCACATATTAATTAGAGTCCTATTTTGCAAACTGGCCAGTTTAGTTCAAGCAAATTACCTCACATACAACTGTTTTATATTTTCCTAATAAAGGGTGAGTTCCCTGAGGGTATTCCTTGTCTTGTTCATCTCTGTATCCCCAGTGGGCATAACACAATGTCGTATGTCAAGCATTGTACCTGATGAATATTTATAGAAATGACCAAACTGTAGCAATGGACGTGAAGCTAATATAATTGTCTTATTATTCGTTTTTTTTACTAATTTGTTCTGCTCGTCCTCACAATTAGTCCAAGTTAGTTGATCTTTTATTATATTTCCAAAGAAATATAATAAAAGATCACTATACTGTGATCTTTTATCACAGGGTACACTATACTGTGTACCCCTTCATTAACTTTTATGAATTTATTTATAGTAAAGGTAAGGATACAAATGTCATCCACACATAATTGGCAGTCTGGTACTCAGACCATCCTATCCTTTCTAAGACTGCCGTGCACGGCTGTGCACACTGCGCACTGTGCAGCCCTGTCCTTGTGTGAGACAACAGCGCCCCCTGGGGCTGTGTGATGTGGCAGCTCATTCCCTTCTCCAGCTCAGGACAGGGAAACCCAATTCATAAAATTTCCTTTCTATCAGAGGCAGAGATTTATAAATCAACATTATTTTGAAAAGATTATAAAGACAGACTGTTCTGCTTAGAATAAAAAAGAATAAAGACATCTAATTTTAGTTTATTCCTCCCGTTCAAAGCAGAGATCAAACTTCTTAGTGTTATTGTAATGTTTATGGTCAGACTCACACTTATCACTGAATCAAAATTTTGAAATATTTATTTATAAGGTTAATGACTATCTTTAAACTGAGGCAGTTTGCTGAGCAATTAAATATTTTTGTCTATACACAGACTTAATTACTGCTATAAATAAGACAGTCAGAATTTCTACAGTTTTAGTCTGAACATATAACTTGTAGTAACAAGATGCAGGCTCTAGTACAGATTTAATAATTAGTTATATGGCCCTAAACAAGCTGTTTTAGATCTCTGCCTTCACTTACATCAAACCGGGATAATGACGCCTTTTTTCAAACCTACCTTCTAGGTTAACAGACATTAAGATTATGTGAAAACATTTGGCTAAAGTTGCTAAACAAATGTAAGGTAAAAGATGTTAGGTTTTGTCATATCAACTATTTTCTAATATTTTGTTGACATTTTTACAATTTAACCAAAATAAAAATTGCATATTTTCAGAACTACAAAATTCAGTAGCTATACAAGGTGAATTAAAGTAGTGAAGCTAGTCATGATCCATTCATCCATGTTCACATTTAATTATATCAATAATAATTATAAAAATAGGTAGGTAAAGTTTCGCAAAAATATTTCTATTTATTCTAGCTTAGGAGGTCTTGCCCATGTCAATGGACTGTCTGGCATCGGCCACTGTTTCAGGTACTCGAACAGTCATGTTGTCCATAGATTTCGTTAAACAGATTTGGCAGCCCAACCGTGATCTGTAAAAAACGGGGAAGGTATGATTCAGTATTAAGCATATATTATTCCCAAGGCAATGCAGTTGTTTAAGATATTTTAATACTTTCTTACCCAAAGCAGTCGGGGAATTTATCAACCTTTAAAATATCCATTAGATCAAAACATATATAACCCACCCAGTCAACTAGAAGGTAAATATGAAAAACAATGGACCTGGTGTGCCAAAGGTTCATTATGGCCTTTAGTTCCTATTCCCCACTAATCGTTTCACCAAAACAACTACTTTTTTGGTGAAAAAGCTGACAAGCAATGAAATAATCAGAAGGCACAATGGGGAGATGAGAACTGAGGTTATTAGCAAAGCCAAGAAAAAATGATTAATCATTTCCTAGATAATTAAAACCATACAGATCATAAAAGAAAGCCACACTTTTAAAAGCCTATAAAAGAAAAAATTTGGAATAAAGGCATAGACTTAAATCATCAATTATAAGAGCATATTTTTCCCCACATTTTTACTACCTGTGAAATCAGGAAGCATCTTAAAATCAATGGCATCTTACAATCACTGCTACACTGAGAGGTAATGGTCATGTCATAGCTGAAAATTTGGTTACAATATTCATAAGGGGGATTCTTCAACTTAGTTATGGGAAGTACATCACATGTGTTGATTTTAACTACCTTCCAAAATTTATTTATTCCAAAATAAATCCAAATTTATTCCAAAATAAATCCAGAAAGATTACAAAACAAAAATTAAGAATACAAAAACATAGCACAGTGTAAAGTCGATATTAGTAAATATTTGTCATTGTAAAGATAACTATAATCTATTTCCTTTTTTTTTTTGCAGAATTACTACCAATTTTATTTATATTTTCCCTTTTTTAACAGTGATATATAATTCTAATCTATGTCTAGAGAAATCTAAATAACTCTTCCAATATGCACAAAATATGTTAAATAACACTGTGCCATATTGTAATTAGTAGTGCTTTTTTCTTTCTTATTGGCATATGAAAATAAATGTTAATCTTCTAATCAAATTGTCTTCAATTTGATGAAATGTGATATGCAGGTCTTAGTTTCATTAATATATTCATCAAGCATCTATTAAAGGCATAGTACTAAATTCAGTAAGTACACAAAGAAGAGCAACTCAATTCAATACTTTCTTATGGAACACCTCTTAAGTGCTGGGCACTGGAGATGCAATAAGGAGACAGCAGAGGGGCTAGAGCCAAACAGACCAGTGGTCTAGAATCCAGCCCTTCACACAGCGTGTTCACAGGCAACTTGTTTTTGCTTAACCTCGCAAACGTTAGCATAATCCTCCAGATGGGTTAATAAGAGAGTCCCTCACAGGACTGCTGTGAGGATTAGTTGCTAATGTCAGCATTAATGAGTGAACTTTCAATCAAATAGAAGAGATGAGACACATTCACAGATGATTAACATGTGAGATTGTGATGTGACAAATGCCAGAGAGAGAGAAAGCCAAATGGCTCTGACAGGTCTGAGGAGAAAGCACTTCCTTCTGGCCAGGGCGGATGGTGCTGGTATCCAGAATGGGCTTTGGAAGAGGAGTAGGATTTACTTTTTAGTAAAAGATAGAGAAGAAAAGCATTTGACGCATAAGGCAAACAGAATGCAGGGAAGTTCAAGGCACATCTGAGGCCAGATGGGTGCTTGCTTGGCTACTACAAGGCGTAGACCAGGACAAGGAGAATGAGGGACCAGAAAGGTGGCCAGGGCCTAGAAAAGCTTTGAATACTAATTAAAGAGTTTATGTTTTAATTGGTGAGCAATGAGGAACCACTGGGAAGTTCTGGAGTAAGGAGTATGCTTCACTACAGAAATAATGATTGCGGACAGAAAAAAATCTCCTCTACCAATAGTTATTTGTAGAATGAGAAATAACCTTGACAACACTCAACTATGCATTAAGCTCTTTCTGCAAGAGAGAAAATGTGGTCAGCCAATCTAGACAAATTCATTAGGACTGCAGTGAGCCCTAGAGAGACTACTGGTTACTCAGGGTGTTCATATAAAACCAGTAAGACAATGCTAGCCTTCAAGGAACTATCACTTTAGTAAGGGAAACAGTTATCAATGAAACAAGGCAGGACACCACAGTGTGGTGACAGATGAACAAGAAGTCTGTTATCGGAGCAGAGAGAGAGGCGGCACAGAGAGCTTCTGCTCACTCTAGAACAGGCGTCCTCTAACTACGGCCCGCGCGCCACATGCAGGTGTTTTTTGCCCGTTTGTTTTTTTACTTCAAAATAAGATATGTGCAGTGTGCATAGGAATTTGTTCATAGTTTTTTTAAACTATAGTCCGGCCCTCCAACAGTCTGAGAGACAGTGAACTGGCCCCCTGTTTAAAAAGTTTGAGGAGCCCTGCTAGAAGATAAGGCGTGGCACCCCACTGCAGCCTTCTCACTCTCCTGCTTACTAGACCTCCGTAAAGGTCTCTGGCTCCAAGATCCAGCCAGTATAGACAGTGTCTCTAGAGGAGACAGACAGCAAGGCTCCTTCACTTCATACTGTTCGTCCCACAAAGTTCTGACACTTGTGTGAACACTTTCTCCAGTCGCTCTTGCCACATATCCCTCAGTGAAAATTTACTGGGTGTTCCGTTTACATTACGTCTACGATTTGGTTTTTAATTCAGAAAAGCATCTGGAAATAGTAACAGAGCAAGGGCTCTGAGGCCCATCATAGCTGGATACAAATCAGGGCTCTGTCACTCACTAGCTGAACAGCCTTGAGCAAATATGTGTAACTAAGCCTTGTTTTCCCACCTACAAAATGGTGATAATACTGCCTAATACATTGAAGGTTAGATAGAGTCACATTCGTTAAGTGCCCAGGCATTCGGATAAGTTCCCAACATATAAATTGATACGACTGTAGTTATAATGCTAATAACTACCATTTAATGAATGCTTTCTTCACCGGGCACTGTTAAAGACCGTCATGTATATTTATTCATTAACTCTACACAGCAACCCTATGAAGTGGGTACTATTATTATCTTCCTCTTAGAGATAAGGAATCTGAGGCCTCTGTGTACATTATCCATAGAAACTGGTGGCAGGGAGCAATGACAATCCTCCAGTGTATTACAGATTCACAGATAATTCCTGAATCTCCCTTTCCATCAACTATTAATTCCACAAACAGTGGGTGACTCCCTATTGTGAACCAGGCACTGGAGATACAATGATAAAATAAGACGTGGCCCTATTCTAAAGAGAAAAGGAGACGAGTAACCAGTATGAAAAAAAAACCATGTGGGGCTGTCCATGTATCATCAATCCATCAACAATCAAGGTTAAGTATATCCAATAATAAATATTAAAACAATGGTGTTTCCTCCTAAAAATTAAAAGCATTTACACAGCACTTAACTTTAGGCTGAATCTCCCTATATCTTTGTTTTAGAATTTTATGGTACCCTAAAAATAGGAGTTTACATGTGGTTACTAGCTTTAAACAAAATTCTTTCCATTCCAAATACGTCAAAGTGTTTTATAAACCCTACCTGTGCAACACATTACACTCTTTCCCCACAAAGTATCTGTGCTAAAATTCTGTGTACTTAAGAATACCAGCTATAAAACACTGTACAGCTATTTCTTGCTCTCCATTATCTAGTTCTAAAACTTGGAAATTTTATTATCAATGCTCTCGGCTAGTTTACAGTTATTACCGGCTGTTTGTATCTTATTACATTCTGTATCTCTTCTAACTGTAGCTCTCCCTCTATTTTCTTTTTCTTTTCACTTAGAATATTATGTATTATATGTACCTACAATTTTTATCTGAATAAAAGGGCAAGCAGTTAGCTGTGATTTAGCCCTCTTGTTAAACGAGACACAATTATTGGAACCAAGCTACATAGCTACTGAATGTATTCTCTGTGTAATTCCTCAGGACAAAAAAAAGGAAGTATAGACAGAGAACATGGCACTGAAAATGTGAGAGGGGACAGGTAGAGGGCAGCCACAATCCACTATGCTTTGGTGTCTAAAGGGATAATACTATTTTCCTAGTTTCTCTTCCTAGAGTATCAGTCTGATCTCCACCAGGAGGTAAAGGAACTACAAAAGGAACAAAACGGTACGTACAAATGACCTAAACATTTTTGTGAGGATTAAATGAGGCAGTTTATGTTAAGCATCTAACAAAATTACAGTTACATAATAAACATGAAAATAAAACTACTATTACTATTATTTTAATTTTTTAAAAAATTACTTATTACTAGGGTCACCAAATGACAGCTAAAGCCAATCTTAAGTAATAAGCCCTCATTATTTTACTTCTTGAAACAGTAAATCAACTAGCTACCTTGACTCCAACCAAAAGATAATAATAAAAAAATGTATCACTTTATGTCACCTGTTACTGAAAATCATACCACTTTTAAGAGTAACTTTACTCATTAATTAATAAAAAGAATAAGCTCTGGTTAATTTACTTTAATGTACACTTAGAAAAGGAACTACTCACTTTAACATAATTATTATTATATACTAAGTCGCTTTAAAAATTGTTCAAATAGGTAAAACTTTCCCCTATAATTTTGTTCAATTATCAAATGTGTCCTTCAAGAATACTATAAAAAGCATTAAATTTAATCCTGTCCATTAAATTGTAATCAATATTAATTCCTGGAATAAAAATAGATCAAAAAAGATTTATTAGTATCTAGAACTTACACTTCCAATACTTCCATTTTTTTTTTTAACTTTTGTATAAAGGAATGTTTCATAGAATATAAAACAGTGAGAACAAGAGAAATGCCACATATTTGATGTTCAAAATCTGCACCTATAATTTAAAGTGGGGGAACTCTATTACATTCATGGGTCCGGTCTTGAATAGACACAAAGGAATAAAACATTTACCTTCCCAGATTATTAGTACAACTGAAGCAGTCCTAAAATCTTACCTGTCTGTAAGTCCGTATGCCAGATCAAGCATGTCATTCTCCTCGTCAGTGATTGGGTCTAACTTCTCAAATATGTGGTCTTCAAAGATGAGGTGACAGGTAGAGCAAGCCAAGGTTCCCTCACAGGCACCTAAACAAAAGCCACAAACACTGAACACACTCTACTCTGCATCAGACACCATTCAAACTGGGTCATTAAAGTTAAATATTTCTAAATTTTAGAATCAGTATTAGAAAACAGAAATGAAAGGACTTCATTTCTGAATAATAATGAGAATTAGAGGCAACCGCTCCCCCCGCCCACACACACACATAGTTTGAAATCATTCACATACTCTTTCACAAAGGTTTGGGTTTAGTGTTATGAACAGAAACTATAAAGATATACTGTCCTAATATCAAAGAGCTTACAAGTTATTTTAACAAGCTGAAATGTGCATACATATGAAAGTGTGCATTTTTAAACTTACATAGTAATAATTTATGCAATAGCAATGCAAGTTATTTACCTTTTCCTGGAGAGCTCAGCACAGTTTATGAAGACTTGTGGTGTAAGAGGAACTAGAAAGCAACCATACTTACACCTAAATAAAGTTAAATATTCTTCCCTCTCAATTGCTCCTTATAATCTGGACAAATAAGTCTTTTTAAGAGTCACTCTCAGAAACCCCAGTTGCAAAATCAGTTAGCATACTACTTGTAAGAGCCACCTGGGTTTCAAATTAGATAAGAGTATTTCTCCTGGTTTGTTTTTTTTTAAGTTATTAATTTAACAGTTGCTTACTGAGTGCCTATTATGTGCCAGGCACTGCGAAAAGGGAACTAAAAAGTCATCTTATCCAACCAAACCAGGATAGAATTCGTTCTGCAACATCTCTTTTCCAGGGTTACCCAGCCTTTGCTTGAAAATCTCCTGCCAAACAAACCTGTACTGCATAAGTCAGCCAATTTCACATTCGGCTGGCTTCCATCTAGCTAAAGTCTGCCGCTCTTAACTTCCATCTACTGGTCCAACTCTATCCTGTGGAGTCAAATCTTTTTTTTTTTTTTGAAACAGAATCTTATTCTGTCATCCAGCTGGAGTGCAGTGGTGTCATCACAGCTCACTGCAACCATAAACTCCTAGGCTCAAGTGATCCTTCCGCCTCAGGCTCCTCAGTAGCTGGGACTACAGGTGCACACCACCATACCCAACTAATTTTTCTATTTCTTTTTTAAGAAAATCACTATGTTGCCCAGGCTGGCCTTGAATTCCTGGCCTCAAGCAATCACCCTGCCTTAGCCTCCCAAAGTGCTTAGGATTACAGGCATGAGCCACTGCACCCAGCTTCAAATCCTTCTTCTAAACAATAATTTTTCATTATTTTTGAGATTGTTCTTTTCTTCTATATGCTCAATTTTTTTCTTACATAACAGTTTCAAATCCCTTCCCTTAAGCTGGTTGCACTTTTCTTAAAATGTGGTGTCCCCATGTTCTCATAAGTGGGCTCTAAAAAATGCATCCTCATGGATGTAGGGGGTGGAGTAACAGACAGTGGAGTTGCAGAAGGGTGAGGGGTGGGAGGGGTGTGGATGAGGAGAAATTACTTAAGGGGCACAATGTATGCTACTCAGGTGATATCATAAAAGCCCTGACTTGACTACTACACAATCTATGTAACAAAACTGTACAAATAAAAATTTCATTAATAGATTAATAAAACACATATATGGTATCCAGAACACATTAATATTTCAGGGGAGGACTTGACCACAGACTCATGAAGATTCACATTCCGGTTAAATTTGATTGTTTTCTGGATTGTTTTTAAATAAATTTTTAAAGCCCAAACTGCACAACTTTAAAGACTATAGAGTCTTTGGAGTAACTTCAGTTTGATTTATATTCTCTATTGGCTAATAAATGCTATAAAAATAAGTAACAGAACCTACTATTAATAACTAGTAACCTTTTTAATTTTCTTCAGAATGGATCATTTTAACAAGTAATTTTCTCCTAACTTAAACATTTGCTATTCATATTTTACTATTTAAAAAAAATTAACAAAGATAAGATTGGCTTCCCTAATCTTCATTTTTATTAAATCCAGTTCAAAGCTGTAACAGGACTATAGGGCTACCATACAGTGGAGTACAGGAGTTAAGAGCATGGGATCTGCAGCCAGACTCCCTAGCTTCAGCCTCAACTCCCCTTTTTACTAACCACGTCACCTGGGTTGCTTTACCCTCCATGCCTCAGTTTCCTCAACAGTAACTATACCAACCTCACATGGTAGTTGCAAGAATTACATATGAGTGTGTACGAATATATATTAAAATATTAATGTATGCCCTGGCAGCCATGACTGGTAGATAGTAAACACTATGTAAGTGTTGGTAATCATGATTATTATTATTATTATTTGGAATTTATGAGAAAGCTTGCATTAATTCAACTTTCTTTTTAAACATAAGAGGAACTAAACCTAAGAAGTTAAAGAAATGAACTGAGGCCATACTACTAGTTAGAGATGAGTCAGGACTTCAGCTGAGTTTCTGAACACTGAAGACTAGTTCCTACCATACAATAATCTACACCACCTTACTTCAATATTAAACAGAGATAAAAGGTTCATATGGTAATAAATCCCTCTAGAAAAACTTAGGTCATTCCTTTGTGTACCACCTGGTCTATTGAAATGAAGAGTCCCCTCCATCCTTCATAGGCTTTACCCACTCTCTCTTCCCTGGGAAACTAATTCTTTTAACCTTCTCTTAAAGGTCTTACTCTCTAATAATTTTCATTGCTCTTCTCAGGAACCTTGGCAATTGGTGCCACATCTTGCTTAAATTGCCACGCTCAGAGATGAAGAGAGTATTCAAATAAGAATTTGGCAAATGTTGAATATATACAGAAGATTAACTTTCGGTTCCCACATGCCAAGTTCCTATGATATACATTCTACTCCTGTATTTATTCTTTAAACAAATGCATCATGTTCTTGATCCCTTCTACATTTTATGATCCCATTTAAACTTTTTCTACCACAAAAAGTTATCAATAAATTACCCTTTTCTTATTCTTTGCACTGAGAGGAAACTCAAATATAACAGAAACTTTAAGATTCAAAATGAAATCAACTAAGCCTTTGTGAGAGGGCTAACATGGAGCCATAGAAACCTAATGGTCAGACTGTATTACAACAATTATTGCTACAGAAACAAATCTGCAGCAAGAATTCATAAGACCCCATGGATAGCACTTATTAGAAGAAATATTCAATCCTGCAAAACTCTGTAAGAAGACGACAAGTAGTTTTTTGCATTTTGAGATTTAACCTATTTTATTAAAAAAAAAATTTAGAGAAGAGTGGAGACATATATCTGAAAAAGGTATTTAGGAGAAAAAAACTGAAAAAATAAGGTAAAGATTTGGATATAAAGAGAGACTAAAATTATGAGAACAAGAAGTTATTTTGTTAAATTTAAAGCTAAAATTTTCATTTGGGGAGCTATTATAAATGTTACTTTTAAAAAATTTTGGTTTCCAAATGTTCATCCTTAGTACATAGAAATACAATTGATTTTTGTGTTGACCTTGTCTCCTAGGACCTTGCTAAACGCACTTATTAGTTCTAACAATTTTTCTATAGATTCCTTGTGATTTTCCATGTATACGATCATTTCCTCTAGAAGCAGTTTTATTTCTTCCTTTTCAATCTATGTGTCTTTTAATTTCTTTATTTGGTCGTAATACACTGGTTAACCCTTTCCAGTGTGATATTAAGGAGTGATGAGAATAGACATCCTTGCCTTGTTCCCAATTTTAGGGGAAAGGCATTCCATCTTTCACCATTAAGTATGATGTTAGTTATAGGTTTTTTGTAGATGACCTTTATGTACACCTTATTTTGCATAACCAGAGCTGATCTGGCACTACTTGTTTTCTATTAGAACATGGGAGCTGCCGTGAATTCTTTATCTCCCAAATAATATAGTGAGTTCACATCCTTAACATCATGGTACCTCCCAACACCACTACAACCATACAGCCCAAATTGCCAAAGGCTGAGAACAGTAATACAGGAGACATTGTTTTTAGGCCTCATCTTCTAATTTTTCCTTAGCATCACAGAATTCCCAGGTTCCTATCCACCATGAAATCTTTTGCACTGAGAATCAGCCGTGCATATATTCCCTCTCCCAGACTTGGATACAACATGGAGAAAGGAATCCCTATATTATTTGTGCGTTTGTGTGTAAGCAGTGGGTCCAGGGAATTAAGAAGGTGTTCTTGAACGGGGTTAGGAAGTTAGAAGTTGCACGAGTTAGAAGTTACAATGCATTTTCTCATAAAAACCAAGCTAGAAATGGTAATTAAGACAGTTATGAAGAAATAGATTCTGTGTGTTGGTTTGGAAATTTAGTCACCATGCATAACATTATTTTTCTGGAAAAACTATATACCTCATGCAAAGGAACTGACCTGAAACAAAACCTACTCATAAAATGGGGAGGGTTTTTTTTTTTTATTCTTTGGTTTTTCACATATGCTGGGAATAACCCTACAAAATAAGGAGTGGAAGACAACCTTTAAAAGGAAAAAGGATACAAAAGTAACAAACAACTACGAGCCTATCTAAAACTAGAAGCTGATCAGACTATGGGTATACCAATATAATAATAACAGTCTTGTATATTTCAAAACTGATAAATTTCAGATGTTTTATAACAAAAAATAAAAGCTATATTAGCTGGATTTAATCATTCCATATGGTGTACATATATCAAAATATCACATTGTACCCCATATATATAGACAATTATGATCTGTCACTTAAAAATAATAAAATACTTTATGCCTTAGCAAAAATAATCATCTGATTTAGGGATACATTAGGGACACACTGATATTAGCCCCTAATGTCAGCATTTTATCTACCATCCTTGCAGATGTCTTTTTTATACAATGTCTTTTTTTCCTTTGGGTAGATACCCAGTCATGGAATTGCTGAATCAAATGGCAGTTCTACTTGTATCTCTTTGAGGTATTTCCATATTACTTTCCACAGAGGCTACACTAGTTTGCAGTTCCACCAGCAGTATATGAATGTTCCTATTTCTCAACATTCATGCCAACATTTATTGTTT